CATTTGACATAAGTAGCAAATATTTTGCTTCCTTCACAGAACTGGTTGGATTAGTTACACAAGTGCAAAATGACAGGTTGACAGTTTAGCAAATTGTCTGCCTGGTCCATATAGAAAGCACTGAAATTTCTAGTTTCCAAAGAATAGTTTGCAGTGTTAGAGAGCAGTTGAATGGCACTTCTGGTCTGTTATTCAAGGTTGCTAGGGGCACAGCCTACATTAGGAAGCAACAGGCTTCTAACATATCACATACACCTAAACTTTGCCTTACAGATACTGCATAATGTGTCTAGTTAAATTCATTAAATATTCTACAACAGAAGGAACAAAGACGTAGAAGTGCTTAAAACAGAATTTACAGACCCAGAGATGAGGGGGGACCCCAAAACACCTGGGATTTATTTATAAAAAATCGTGCATTTATTCTTTCATGTTGAAACTTCAGTTATGTCATCTTCATTTGTACTCTCTTAGTACTCTCCATCTGATGCAATACGCCTAACGAGATGTTTTTTCCACTGCTCAAACAGTTTTGAACTCGTCAATTTTGATGCCTTTTAGTGCTTCTGTCATTTTTTGTTTCACTCCTTTCACATCAGCAAAACGTTTCGCTTTGAGAACTTTTTTCATCCAGGAAAACAAAGAAAGTCTCTCAGGGTGACATCACATGAATAAGGAGAGTGGGAAACAAGGGTCATGCCATTTGGGTGAAAAACTGCTGAATATGCAGCTCAGTGTGGGTAGGTGTGCTGGTAAATCACCCATCATGAAATAGGCAAATGCGTTGAGTCTTCAAAAAAAATTCACCGAAGCTGAACACAGCCTCTCACAAGAACACCAGCTGGTACACTGATGCAGATGGATTCCTAGAGCACTCACCTAGCGGGGGAAGCCTCTACTACAAAGGGTTTGCCCTCCAGAAGGTAATTCTGTTTTTTTTTGCGGGGTTCTCCATTGTAAGTTAGAGAGAAGCAGCAGAATGGATTGTAGACACAGAAGAAATGTTATTTCAGTTTCATGTATAAATACAACTCATCAACTGCATCCTTGTGTGTGTGTGTGTCTGAAAAGGCCTGTGCCCTTGAGAAAAAGCAAAGTTATCACCTGATTTCCCAGGGGTCATTTGCATAATTTCCCAGGACCTTGGGGCAGTGAGTGGGCAACTGGTTGAGATGACCACTATAGGAGAATCGAACAATTTAGAAGAAAGAATGGATGTCTTACTGTTATGGGAAGTGCTTAGGAAGTGAGGTAGTATGAATTTAGAATGGCTGGGTTGGTGGCCTAAGGAATTTAGAGTCAAGAGTCAGAACAAAAGGTGTAGCTACATCCACTGTCAAGTTGGTCTCTGAGACAGGGAGAAGCATCTCTCCAGAGTGAGATGGGGGAGACTTCCAGGAATTGAAAGGTTCTCACAGTAGGTAGAACTCTTTGGGTTTGCATATCTGGGAAAGGCAGGACAGGAGCTCAGAGCCCTAATTTAGAGGTCTGTGAGATGATTTCAATAAGAGGAACTGGTTGGAAAATAAGGAGGGCCATGAACAAAAGATGGATGACCAGGTGCCCTCCTGGGGGCATTCATCTTCCCTGGCAGTGTGACTAGAAAGAGTGAGTCCAAAGCACTGTTTGTGATGTACCTTCTCCTCTACCTGGAACACAATAAAAAAAACCTTCCCTCTTTTCCTATGAGCTAAGGCAGAGGGTCTGGTCAAGAATGAACTACACAACTAAGGGTCATTTTTCCCTTTGGTGGTTGAGAAATTAGCTTAAAAGATGGGTGCCTAGGGTGTTGGGTAACAGTTTTCCTGGTTTTGTTAATTATGTACTTGATAACCTTAAGAGATGAGGCAATATCTCCTTACTCTTCCACACTCTACCTCCACTTCTGGACAAAGAGCAGGATTGTTTACTGCCTGCTGTAAAATAAGTGGGTTCCCCAAGCTCATTGTTCCTCAGCTGTGAAGTAGCCCACTGCATGTGCAGACATCCTTTAGGCCCATCTGTGTTGTCCCCTTAACACTTGAGGACAAGGGGAACCAACACAAATATGCTGATGTTCATGGTGTATTGTGTCACAAGTAATAAAGTCTTTTGTCTCTAACCCAAGACTCTTGAGTATTCTGCCAACTTCCATAAAATAATAAGTGGCAAATTTATTTGGTTGTAGGTAAGGTAAAATCAAATCCGCGGTCCAGCATATATTATTTTATCTATTTTAGTATACACCCTAAGAGATAAGAACTCTTCAAAAAAACTGAGGTAAGATGAGTAAGTTCTAAAGAACTGCTATTGTACAACATTGTTCCTATGGTTAATGGTACTTTGTTGTGCACTTAAAAACCTGGTGAGAGTAAAGATTTCATGTTAAAGTCCTTACCAAAAAAACCCGTCCAAAATACTATTATTACATTTTTAAACAGACAATAATTCTTTAATAGCATTGACTATTTCCAATTGTGTTCAAATTTCTCCAGCTGTTCCTTTTTTTACAGTATATTTAATAGGCATTCAAATCTTTATATTGGGTGATTTGAATCTTTAAACATTTTTATTGTAATAAATATCTATTTACATATATATCATAAATTTTGTGATTTTAACCATCATTAAGTGTACAATTCAGTGGATTAATTATATTCACAATGTTGTGCAACTATTACTACTACCTATTTCCAAAACTTTTATATCTGGGTGGTCTGCATCTTTAGCATCTTTTAATCGTTGGTTTTCCTTTTCCCTTTCTCTGTTTTTCCTTGTGATTTATTTGTTGAAAAATATCAGGTAATTTCTACTATACAGTTTCCCACAGTTTGGATTTTGCTATTTTCATAACTGTTTCATGGACTTTCATCAGGAGGCAGATAATTTCTGGTTGTTTCTCTTTTGGTGATGTCAGCAACTATTTATGATCTGTCTCTAAAGTCTTTATTTTTTAGAGGTGCCAAATGGTGATATTTGAATTCTATTATTGCTTTTTAACAGCTCTAATACTTCTATGGAGGAAACAGTTGCAGTATTCCATTACATATGTTTTTTCTATCTATCCTAAGTCAGAAGACCCTATTTAGCAAACACAGTTTTATTTATTGTGATTGGTTTTTAAACATAAGGGAGGTTTTTGTTGTTGCTGCTGTTTAATTCTCACAAAGGGCACAGAGTATGCTCAACACTAAAGTAGCATTTGCGGAAAAGTTAAAAACTACTTCTATGGGAGTAAAATGTTCACTTCTAAAATCAGTTCTGTTACTAAATTGGGTCTTTTGTTAAAAGGTACCCTAGAGTTATCTGGAAAGAAAGCAATCTTAGTATGAACAAGCAGTTTGTCTCCTTTTCTTTTAAAGAAGAGTGGTGAGAGCTGAGGAGAGCCTCATTTTCACGTGTCCTCTGGTTCTTTTTTTATGCATGGATCTAAAATTAATCACAGTACATGCCAGGATGGCATATCAGAATATTTTCTTAGAGCAACATTGAGACACATCTGTTCAAGTGAATCAGTTACCAGCTCCATTGACTCACTTAGCAGAGGTAAGACATTCAAAAACCATCATATGGATTAAACCTCGTGATTTCCTTGCCTCTAAAAATATTAATTAAGCTTCTCTTTTTACCCACCCCAAAGCATCTGTTAACTTACATTTGGCATCCTGTGAAACTGCTGTATGCTGGGAATTATAGCAGTTGAAAGGCCATGTGACAAAACTTAAAATTTTTAAATTTGAAGGGATTCTATCTGCATGTGTGCACACATGTGTGTCTCCAAAGAGAGTAAACTAGCAAGTCATATGAATATTTGATAGTACAATGTCAACAACCCTGTTGTTTTCATATGTAAAATAAAAGAAAAGCTCATCTAATTAAAATAATCTGTTAGGGGATGACTTCAAAAGCCCACTCTACAAATTAGAGAAGAAAGCCCACTTTCTGCAGAAGTCCACTTTCTTCCAAATGAAGAAGTGAATGTGCATAGCACACTATGTGTGTTTATCGGTGCAATGTGTTTGTTTTAGTTATCTACTGCTGTGAAACAAATTACCCCACAACTGAGTGGTTGAAAGCAGCACATATATTGTCTCGCAGTTTCTATGTGTCAGGAATCCAGGAGCATCTTAGTTGGAGGCCTCTGGCTCAGGGCTGCCATTCAAGCTGTGGGCGGGAGCTACACAGTCATCTCAAGGCCTGACCCCTTCAAGTTCCCTCACGCGGCTGCTGGCAGCTCTCAGATGATCCATTTCCAAATCCATCACATGGGCCTCTCTACGGGGCTGCCTAGAGGCTTCTTCAAGGGCAAGGATTCCAAAGAGACTGGGAGAGAGCCCCCGAGGCAGAAACCGCAGAGTGACGTCCATCATGTCTTTCATATTTTCTTTATTAGGAAAATGTCCAGCCCAGTCAAAAGGGCAGGGGTTTACATCAGGGTAGGAATGTTAGAAAGCAGAGATCACTGGGGGCCGTCCTAGTGGCTGCTTACTACAGTTTCTTTATTTTAAATTTAAATTTAAAAAATAGACAACACATTCCCATGCTTAGAAATTCAAAACGTGTAAGAGGGTGTATAGTAAGTCCCCCCCCCCCACCCGCCCCCCAGCACACTTGTTATCAGTTTCACGTGTACTCTTTGGAGGCTCGCTGCTGGGTGGGAACTCCACTGCAGCCCGGGGAAACCACTTTAATCTTCTCCCCTCATCTTGCTAATTCAAACCTGCTTTGTAGAGATAACTCGACTCTACCCCTTGGGTGAAATCTGAGGTGGGTATTATGACTTTTCATGTCCCTCTCAGATAATGAGGAGCCTGCCAGTTATTTGTAGTCATAACAGAGTGTCATGACAGAAAGAAAATGCTGACTAATAAGACTCTGAACTTGAAGGTTAAAATGTCTGCCCCTTCCTACCTTCAGGCAGATGCTTTAGGCCCCGAAGGCAGGAAGGCCGCACTGAGAAAGGGAGGAGGAGGAGGAGCTTCTCTGTTTCTCTGTTTTTTTGGGGGTTTTTTTTTGTGCTTCACCTTCTCTTCTGCCTCCTTCTGACTTCACTGGGCTGCCTTTGTCTCTTTCCTGGGAGTGGGAAATGAGTGAGGGAAGGTTAAAGGGCTCTTTTTTTTTTTCTTTCAATATCAGCTGTTTTGGCTTCTGAGTTTTCCTTATGGAAACCCCCATCTGCAACTTTTTCTAATGTTTGCACAGTCTTTCCTTTATTTAGCTTGTGCTTCCAAGGGTTCACCTTCAGCCACTTTGTGCTAAGGCCACTTGGGGAAGCCTCTGGGGCCAGGCCTCCTCCGCGAAACTTCAGGAGGCTGGCTTTCTCTCCCTCTCAGCCTCCATCTGGCCCTGGGAAACCCTCGCACACCCTTCAGGATATCCCAGACTCTTTGGAAAACTGACTAAGACAGTTCTTGTTTCTTGCGAGTTTTAATTTCTCATACTGTCTCGCTCATTTCCTTTAGGAATTATTATATCCTGGGAACAGGTATTGTCCATTGTTTCACCCCAGGGATTAAAATCCAGAGGAGGGGACGCATCTGCTGGTTGATCGAATGCTTGTTTTGTATGGGTAGGAAGTGAAAACCTTTTCTTGTAGAGCATACTTTCCACATGTTGAGACACCTTTGAAGACAAAATAATTATAGTAATTATTAATTAGTAAGCAATTAGTAAGTCGACTAATTATTTCAATAACCCAGTGTTCTCTGCTTAGCCACAGATGGCGTCTCTTCCCGATTCTGTATCCAGCGAGGTTACATTGAGAGTCTGTCAGCCATGGTGGGAGTATTTACACTACAGAAATTGACAGGTGCTACAACTCTGGGTTCACTTTGTTTCTGAAGAGAGCTGGGTGTTAAACGTTTACCAGCACACCACTGCTTTGTGCCTTCCCAGCTTTACCTAGGAAGGTGTGCTATTTCCCCAGCCGATGTTTTCAGGTTCCCTCACTTCTATTGTGTCTCCACCCACAGAGAGGAAAAGCTAATAAAGAGATTAAATAGGTATTATGAACATCATAACAGGATAAAAGTAACGTGTTTCTGTTGAGTGTCATCCCATTAATACATATTTAGCTAGGAAAAGTCCCCATACCTGCAATTGGATCTTGAGTGCCGGCCCTAGCTTTAATCCCATGGTGCTTCGAAGATGCTCCTCTGTGAGCAAGGGCAAAGTTTCTCCATCAATTGCATGATCTCTAAATACCTTAGAAAACATGAAAGATGTTCATGTTAGCTTTACCTCAATGTCTTTTTTTTTAAAAGCTCCTTATGTTATATACAGATGTGTTCATTTTGGAGGAAATATTAGGACTTCTGGGGTATGGCACAAAATTTTATGGAATTTCTTATTTCAGTTACTCTCTCTTTTGTGCTCAGTAGTGCATTGTTTGTACTCCTTAATAATGCTGGAATACATTGTAATTCTCTGCTGATAGAACTCAATTCCAGCCTAGAATAGCTAATATTTGAGGGTAGGCTCATGCCTTATTTACCCATGTACCTGTCATGCAGTGACTGGAACATAGTAGACGACGGGCAATAAATGTTGCTGGACAAATTAATGAGTGAACAAATAGTCTGAATAAAGAGATGTGAGTAAAAACCTTCACAGACAAATCTCATCTCTCACATTTACAGGTGCCCTGCTTTCCGTGCACCACCTCAGCTAAGTGGTAGCGGGAGGAGAGGAGATTATAGGTGGAGCTGTCCCGCTGGACCTTTCCAACAGGGCCTGTTTGTCCTGACCGTGTAATGGGTGTAACCACGCCTTCCTTTCTTCCAGAAACTAGGAAGGCTGCTGGTGGGCCAAGGTTCCAGGCAGATAAAGGGATGGATAGAAAAAAACTGAGCAGATTGGTAGTACCATAATCTCATGATCTTCAACTTCAATCTGTCTGCCAATTCTATATTTACTGATGTACTTTCTCTTCTTTCTCTTTCATGCTTCCTTCACAATCCTCAAACTTCAGATGTTACAGAATCCTCCCTTATTTTCAACAGATCGTATAACTTGCTAATTAAAAAAAAAAGAAACCAGTAAATAAGAACTTCCTCTAATTCTGCCTAACAAACCTAAAACCTTGTGTTTTCTCCCTCTGCCCTGATATGTGGAGGAGGGGTCCCCACCATTGAAAGACAACCAGTCTCTCCATGTATGCTGTGGGTTCCCACCCTCCCACCTTGGGGTCTCACTCAGTAAATAATCTCTTTTCTGGCCTTCCATCTTTCCTCCTTGGCTCTTTCTCATGGGCATTTAAGCAAATCTCCATCATCATAAAACAAGCAATAAGAATAATAAACATGCACACGCTTCCTCACTCTGCCTGCAGATACTGCCCATGTCTCTCATGCCCTTTAGAGCCCAGTTTCTCAAAAGAGTTGTGATGCTCTCCATTTCCATGTTCTTACTTCCTAGTTATTCCTTAGTCTCAAGGGGTCCGACTTCCACCCTCACCTGTCCATCACACCTGCTCTCTTCTGGGTCGCTAGTGAGTCTGTTGTTTCCAAACACATGGATTTTTTCAGTTCTCGTATTTCTTATGCTTGTGGCTGCATTTGACATTGTTGACAACTCCTTCATGAAAAATGTCCTTCCCTTGCCTTCATGCGGCTTCTCCCTCATGGGCACCCTCTGCCCTCTCCTTTGCAGTCGTCTCTGTGGCTACTGTTTCTTTGTTCATCCTTACGTGTTAGAGTCCCTTATGCATCTGACCCAGGTCATCTTTGTTGTTCTCGATTCACCTCGGTCTCCCTCTGGGCTTCAGTGAGTGTCTCTCTACACTGCAGGCTCTCTAACGTGTATCTAACTTAGAAGTGTATTTATCTGCTAGCCCTGTTGTTCCCACCCTGAATCAAATTCCACTGTTGCTCATCTGAGGAGGGTTTCCCACTAGTCTGGACACCTGCAACCCATTTTCGTAAAAGTAACCTGAGTGATCCTTCTGAAATATAAAGCTAATCGTGCCACTTCCACATAAAACCTCGACCATCTCTAGGATAAAGTCATAGGCCATTGTTGGGTCTTCGAGGCTTCTCGTGACCCCTCTCCAACTTCAGTCTCCTGTCTTGCCATTCTCACCGCTCTCCACTTGGCCCTGGCTCTCTCTGGGCTGCTAGAAACTTCTCCCAAAATCCCAACTATTTGCTACTCTGAATTCTCTCTGGTTCTTGGTCCTTGCCTGGAAATTGCTCCTTTGCCTCTCTCCTGCCTCACCGCCTTCCTCAGCTGGTACGCTCACCATCAAGTCTCACTTCTGGTGCTTCTTCCTGTAGGGAGCCATGAGGCCCTCCTGCGTGTTCCTGCCAGGCACGTAGCGGCCCTCTCACAGCACGGTCCCGTGGGTTTGGAGCCCCTGACTAGTGTCCCTCTTCCGGACTGTGAGCTCCCTGAGAAGAGGGGCCACGTTTGTCTCGTTTCCTCTGTGTGTCCCAGGCCTTGAAAGGCATGCCCCAGGACCAGCTGAAAACGAGAATCTCCTCGGGAAGCTTCTGTACCAGGGATTTGCGTGCTAATGTATTTTAGCTATTTACAAAATACAGTTATTAAGTAATTATTTCTTTTCCAATTTAATTAAACAGAAAAATTAAACATAATTTTAAACATAAAATTAACTATTTGGCCCACTTCAAATTAATGTGGGCCAAAACAAAAGAAATGGACAGTGTGGGTTAGTCTTACAGCCTTCTCTTGGGGAAATGTATGATCACTTTTAGGTGTTGTGGAAACATAAAGAATTACTTAAAGATCTCTTTTACCACTTTTATGAACTCCTAGGGGCTCTTGACTAGAAACCATATGGCCCAATATCTTTAATGTAGAGTAATTATAATGGAAAAAGCTAGATTTATGGTCACATACACATTTTTCAACTACTCCTTTCCTTAGCCCCCTCCTTGATGTCAGTTTTATTTGGCTGCAAAATATTGTTAATGTCTTCTTTGCAGAATTATGGTATAGACTAAATTTAAAAGACAAAATTTAAAAATGACATGCTTAGGGTTCACATATAGTCGACCCAACAAGAATAGGCATTGTTATTATGATTGTTTTTTACATACAGAGATGAACATAGAAAAAGTTAGGCAAGTTGTCCAAGAAGAACAGCTCCCCAGTTAGAGAACTTATGAATAACATATAGTTTGTACTTCTGGTCCAGGATTTTCCCTACTTAACCCCAGGGCCGCTCAGAGAAAGGAGCACCGATGAAAATAGCTTAGTACACTACTGGTGGAAATGTGGCCTCATTTCTCTCTGTGTGGCAGGAACTCCAGTGAGCAGTGGAGGGAAACCACGGGGGTCCATTTTCAGAGGGAGCCTGGCAGCCAGGGCTGGAAGTGCGTGAGGGCTCAATGTCCAGCCTTGGTGGGCGAACCCTGGGCCTGAGGCAAAGGCACAGAACATGCCACTGTCTCTGAGAAGGCGTCCCATTCTCCCTCTCACGAGTGCAGATGATGCCATACTTTTAGTAATTTCAGTTATGTTTAGAGAGAATATTTTATCTGCTGAATTCTTTGAACTAGACATTTACTTAGACAAAATGTGCCGCCAGGTCTCCTGGATGTCCCTAAACAGCTGCGCCAACATCCTTCTCTCTATATCTATGTAAAAGGATTCATTTGCATAGGGATTGGATTTTAGTTGTGGTTATTTATTTTTTTTCTGAATTTCTTTTTCTATCTACCAGAGGCAGGTGGAGGGAGGTTGCTGAGGAAGCACCTAAGGCAGAAGTAAGGAAGAAGAGGGTGGGGGACAGTGGCTGTAACCTCAACTGGTCCCCGGGGCTGTCAGTAAAAGCCAAAGGCACGTTTTAGACAATGGCACTTGTGAGGGTTGTGCACAAGCAGTGCTGCTTAAGAGTTTGCTGCACCCAGTCTGCACCCCGTTACATCAGGGGGATTTTCCTGTTTCTGTACAGATCACCGTCACTCATTGTGGTGGGGTCCCGCCCAGGAGAGCAGTGGTGTTCTTGCAATTTGTCTCACTGGTAGTCGCTGAGAAGGAATAGGCTTTAATGAAGAAATAAGAGCAGGACTTAATCCTGAACATATTTGAGAAACACCTAGAATTAATTACTTCTGCTTCTTGGGTGGGATAGGGAGCACAGCCATCCTGCTAGTGAGAGATAATGAGTCAGTGACGCTTGGGTGTTTATGTTTATGTGATTCTGTGTATCTCCAAGAGGACATTTGGGGTGATAAAGTTTGAAATGCATGTAACATTATTTATTACATGAGTGGTTATTATGAACTGCACTTTTATGACTGAATCACTGACTGATTAATAATAATGAGAGTTCAAGCAGATCCATCAGAAGTCTACAATCAAATGTATGTCATACATGAGGTTAATGGCTGATATAATGATGAAATTAGCAATTACTGAGTACTGATAAAGAGCCAGGCACCCTTTATTGCTTACCACAATCCTTTGAGAATATATTATGCTATCCCCATTTTACAGATGAAAAAACTGAGCCATAGAGAAGAAGGAGACAACTTGTCTTAGATCACATGTCTAAAAAATGGAAAAGCTAGGATTTGAGCTTCTGCTTTCTAGTTTCCTAAGTCTTACTCTTTTTTTAAAGTTTTTAAAAATTTTATTTAAATTGTTGCAGTACAATTTTTATAAGTCTTACTCCTAATTACTACTGTGCAACTTTTCCATAAGTCTCATAAATGGAAGACAAAATAAAAGAATTAACAGCATTACATAAAGAAAAATATTCTCTAACCAAGATCTGGAAAAACAGCATCTCTAATGTCAGTTAATTATGATGTTGTTAAATCATAATGTCCTTGTCTTGTTTTTTTTTCTTCAATATATAAACATATATTTTAACAAATAAGGACATTAATACCAGACACACTGTTTCAGGCACACTGTTGCTTGAAATTGTGTTATTAAATCACTTGAAAAAGTAAACTATGTGCATGAAAATATAGCATTGACATATCAAAAACTTGCTGATCCATGATTTTTGTCACCAATTTGTCCATGTGAATGAAATTAGTCTTCATTTCAACTGTCCTGACATTATTGTCATTTTAAAGAATATGATATTTATCTACTAGATTGAATTATATGTGTGTATGTAGTTTTGTATATTGTCCTAGCATAAATAAAGGATTTCGAAATAGTTGATTTCCAGCTTTTCAGATCTATTGCCTTCTTGTCCTTTTTAAAATGTAGTATATATTTCCATTACCTACTATGAGTAGCCAAAAACTTCTAGTGCAGAAGTACGTGCCCCCCAAGTGTTTGTTTATGGATGAATAGGGAAGGTAGTAGACATTTCCCATCCTTTTTGGATCTTTGGTCTCTGCATCTCCTAATCTGGGGAGAATTCCCCCCTCTCAGGAGTCTCGATGGAGTAAAAACTAAAGCCAGACACGGGGCCCAACTCCACCAAACAGTCCTGTCCCAGAGTAACCCTTGACATAAAAAAGGGGGAGATTATTAGGAATCCTCTCTGAGGACACAATGCAAGTTTGATACAACTCATTGTAAAGGCAATGTATTTCAAAGCATCTTACTTTTATGAAAATACTTAAATGTAGGTCACCTGAGCATAGTCTGAACACCCCGGAAGGCCACTAATGAAGTCATGCACATCACTCACGGTCCATTTCTGAATATCTTCATCCAAAGACAGGTTTTCCCCACTTGTAACCAGCACATGTGTTCCTTTAAAATGGAAAGAAAATTATTTTGTGGTATAAAATTTCCATGGGAAAGGAGGATGCTAAGAGCAGAGTTTCATGTATAGCTACATTAATTCCCTCATATTTTATTATCGCAGAGTGATCCCTTTATGTAGATCTGCATGGAGACTCCTTAAAAATATTAAGAGTTATCGAGAGATGTTTTTTAAAAAGCTTAGCTGCCTCCTTTCTTTTCTTTGTCTAAAGGATCTTTAAGAACCACAGTAAGTAAACAAAGAAGTTCCAGAGTTGCTTCTCCCAGATTTTAATAGAAATGCCCTGTGGATTTCATTCTGTGGATTAACACCACCATATTCTGTGACGGTACTGATTTATCAAGCTCTCTGGATGACCCAAGGGTTTAGCTGCATATCTTCATCAAAATGGCAAATTAACACTTTGCAAGGGAAGCAGTTGGTCTGGTGGCTAGATCACGGCCCCTTCCCCCAATCCTTGTGTTTTAAAATATTTTTATGTAAAGAAGTTCTAGAAAATTATTCAGGGGAGAGTGGTGAGTTTATACTTTTAGATCAGAAGGTATCATTAACAGTGATGGGCACTGAAAGTTAATGCTACATTTGTCTATTTTTTTCTGCACTTAATACAGATAGAATTCATACTTTTAGGCAAGAATCCCTCTATTTTGTGTTGAAAAAATTAACAGGAAATTAAATTAAAATTTTAATTAAAAATTCTGGTAGGTTTCCCCATCCTTCCTCATACTTGCCTTCCTTACCTTTGCTGTAAATTCTCTATACAGCAGTATACAGAGATGAATTTCACTGATATGGTTTCTTGGAACTAAAGTAATAAAGTGAACTCAAGAAGAGGTCATTCTAAATAGAATAAAGCAGAGGAAGGATAAAAAGTAGCAAGATGGTTTTGGTTTACTGTGTAAATTCTTAAGGACTTGACGACCAGTGGTTCATGAGAATCTGCATTGGTCGTTGGTGCCTGGATACCTGCCTGGCAAAGATCGTTGAGGAAGTGGAGGGTAAACCCCATTCTTTTCACCACAGGCTGCAGAAAACTGCTCTGAGACCTTCTCTCTCCCACCGTCCCAGGCCTTAGCTTCCATCTGAGCATCATGGGTTCCCCAGGGTTTTCTGTGGGGGGGCTGTAACTCTCCGCAAGTATTGGCGAGAACTGCAGGTGGCTTTTTGTTGGTTTCTTTTGACTTCTGATTGTTTTGAGCTTCAATTTCTGGGCCTTTTGCATACTCATCCTCTTCATAGGGAATTACTTGAATCTCGCCTAGGGATTTTTCTTCTGCTTGACTTTTGGAACTCTCAGTATCACTGTCTAGAACTTTCTGATTCCCTGCACCTCTCCTGAGATGAGGACATTTCTGCCCCCAGCCCTCTAGAAAGTGTGGACCAGTTGCCACAAGCATGGGGTTTCCATGAAGGTTTCTCAGGGAGCGTCTGTATAAATGCAGGTCACTGGCAGGGAGCACGGCCCTTTGGTGGCAGGTGGCTGGGCCCGCTGAGATACTGGAGCCATAGAGGAATGGTATCCCTAGACTTGCTAATCCCTTGGGATTCACTTTTTCTATTCTTCTTTGTTGGTAAATGGCATGCATTTCCATTTCCATCCTAAAAACAAAACAATGCATTTTACACAACCTAAGAAAACCATTACACATATAATTTTTTGGTGATGGAAGGAGACTTGACTTTGGGTGGTGAACAAATACAATATACAGATGATGTGTTATAGAACTGCACACCTGAAGTGTATATAATTTTATTAACAAATGTCACCCCAGTAAGTTCAATAAAAATTTAAAAAATGAAATATAATTTTAATAGCCTTCTGCCTTCCCTCAGACAGCATCTCTGTTTTTCCTGTGAGTCTTCACACTGCTTATCTGAAGTTTGTTGGTTGAGAACACAAATCCCCCGTTAAGCCACTGGGAAGGAAAGTTTGGGCTAAGATCTGAGGGTAAGGGGTGTGGCTAACTATCACAATGGAAGCCCAAGGCCAGTCTGTAGAAATTTATCTCTAATAGATATGACAAATTCAACAGATTTGCCTGTTAAATTTATATAAATTTTTAATATAAATCAATAATGCCACACAGGGCAGTTTCTTGCCAGAGATTAATCCTCAAAGAAACTGAAGCTCTGGAAGAGGTTTTTCAACCTTGCCATATAATTTTAGAGGGACTCAAGAAATGCAGCAAGTCAGTGCAAGTCTCAAATGTTACAAATTACTTCAAAGGTCAAGGGCTGGAGGGAGGGGAAGAGGGCTTGGTGTGTTTGCTTACTTTAGTTTGCTCATGGGTTATCACCTGGATCTCTTAGGCTACCTTCTTTTCCCCACAGGTCATACTCTAGTCATACCCTTCTCTTTCTCCTGGTAGCTACAGCTAAAGGCCACTGTTGGGAGGACATGAGAAGTGGGATTGGCAAGCTTGGCCTCTACCTTTGGATAGAATTGAAATCATTGAAGACAAAAATGCCAGTATGAATTTCAGAGGAATTGCAGCTAGGCATTGGAGTCATGAGACTTTGAAAAACTATTAGGGTCTATAAGCTTAGCTTTACTATGTAATTTTCTAGTCTTGCTTTTACCATATATATATTTCTTTTTGTAATATTCTTGAAATGTTTTTGTAAGTAATCATAACTAATCAGTGTATGTGTGTATATATCTATATAAAGGGATGTATACATAGATATATACATATACATTCATTCAGTGTATATGTGTACACAAATCTAACAACATACACAAATGCAACAATATACAACTATAATAAAAAATGAATGTATATATAGCTGCATCTATTTACTTATCTATCTCAAACAGATGAACAAACAAACAAGTGGATGAATAGAAAACAAATAAAGCAACACCGTTACGTTACCTGGCAGTATGCTGCCTTTGAATCATTTCATTCCTTCTGGCCATTGCCTTTAAGGATTCAGGTGGTAAAATGCCCCAACCTTAAGAAAGAAAATCACCATCCACCCCACAGACAAATGAACAATATCCATTTGAAAATAATGAAAAAGTTTAAGATTAGAACAGTATTCGCTAATAACGGTTGAGCACAGTGTTGGGAGCAGTGTCAGTTCACTGCTATTCAGTATCTTAGAGTCGTGTTGGTGAGGGCACGATGACACCACATCATTTTTTTCTTTAAGGATGGGTCTCATGACTGGTGATATTTCCTGCCATTTCTTAAAAAGAAAAAGATGAAATAAACTGTGGCTCTCTTGATCTCCTGTTTTTGAAGTAAAAATTGATAGCCTTTTTTCCTCTTTGGTACAAGAGGATTTAGTTGACCTTTAAAAAAATTGTAAGTACTTCCTGATGCACTGAAATCCCTAGAAATAAATGCATGACTTAAGTGGATAAAATATGTAGTTCTCTGTGTGAGCATTTTGGTGTATCTGAGGAAAATATGTTTTCTGAAACAATTTCAACTGAGTTGGGTAGCAATCATATTCTTTGCTTGCGTCAACCTTCAAAAATGTCTTGAAATAATGGGAGCATAACCAGAATTCAAGGCCAACTCTTGCCTAGTAACTTCATGCTATATTGATTTTTTTCTTCATGTGCACTGTCAAAGTGCTTAAAGTCTATACTGGTGTTTCTCAAACCATCTGTGGTGAGAACATTTTTTTCTTTTTAAATTTCCAACTCATCATGGACCAACACTTAAAAAAATACAATAAAGTGATTTGTTTAGAAAAATGAAATGCAAACAAGAACAAATGCAAGCAAAAAATTTTTTAGAGTATGACATTAATAGACGTAAAACTACCCTATCAAATTGCTATAAAAGTTTCTAAGCACTAATTCTCTCTATTTATACATTCATTTGTACAAACACTTCACAGACCAGTACAGGTCCACAGAGTGCACTCTAATAGTAATAGACACACAAATTGTACTTATTATACATAGTTTTGTTCAACTATATTTTTACTTGTTTAAGTCTGTTCTCCCCAAAAGGAGGGTAAGTATCATGGAGGCTAGAGCTTTTTCTTGTACTTGCTCTGTGAGCTCATTAAACTATTAATAATAATCTATCTTGAAATAAACCACGATATACTTTTTTGAGATCTGTTGTCATTTTTAAAAAGCAGGAGTTAGGCGAGGTGACCTCTAAAAATCCTTCTGACTCTAAAGCTGTATATTTTTATGGTTCAGTGGCTTCAAGATTCACCTTTAACCGGCTGACGTGCATGAAAGTGCCAGCTCATGGCGTACAACCCACGGATGCAGAGAAAGTCCGTGTGAGAATTCCAGAGTGGAGAACACAATTCTAATCATGGAGATTTTAGGACCTTTTGAAATCCAGACTCACCAAACCTGTTCCAGGTATTTTTCTCTTTCCCAAATAACTGACCTCAAACTTAGTATTAGTCTGACTGTAACAAGTCACTCCCTACCTAACATCCCAATTTTTGAAATAGACCATTGTCTTAATTTCTATGTTGCTAACTTACTTAGAAGCTCAGTTTCCATAGTACTGAGGCCTTGCCTGCCTTTGCTTACTTGCTTGCATATCAGCTTTGAGGTGAGAGACCTGACCTATGTTCCTGGGACAGATGGTCAACCTGCCTGTTTGTATCCAAATAACTGGCAATTTCTGAATTCTCCATCTCTGTGAGGGACACTCTGAGTCGGTGGTCTTTTCATCTGTCATCTGTAACCATGACAATCGATTTACTGGGTTCTTGCTGCTGAATGGGACCTCCATCCAGAAGCAGCTGTCTCATTTGCTCCTCGGGCCACTCCAGGGTGGGTTTTTAGTTTCATAGCTGCTCGAATGCCCAATCTCAGTGCAGAGGATCCATGCACTGGGGTAGCTCAAATCCAGGCAGTCCAGTGTCTTCACTGGCCCTGGTACCAACCATATTTTTTGGGGGGCAGGCTTTTCACTCACACTGTTCCTATCTATCAAGACTTGTTGGAGCTGGGAAACAGAGACAAACAGAAACTCATGAATATAGTTTTGGGGTGATAAGTTGCATCAGTTTGATCTTCAATGTGGTAAGAAAATTCTCGCCTCCTAGTCTCTCTGGAGGCCCCACCAGTCATGTTTTCACTGTCATCACTCTACAGAAATGGCTCTTATCAAGATTACCAATGACACCCACGTAGCTAGATCTAATCATGTATCTTTAGTCCTCATCTACTTGATCTATGGGTGGCATACTTGACACAGTTGCCCAATCTCTCCTTAAATAATTTCTTCCCTTGCCTTCTTGGCCTCCACACTCTCCTGGATTTTCTCCAGCTTCACTGGTTGCTCCTTTTCTCTCTCCCTTGTTCTTCTGCACCTTTCAATGCTGTTGATATGTCCCGGAGATCACTCTTTTAACTTTTACCCACACTCACTATATAGATGATCTCATCTAGTCTCATGTATACTGAAAACTTCCAAAATCATATTGACAGTACCTCCAGAAGTCCTCCCTGGACTTCAGCTGCCTTCCTGATGTCTCTCACTGGTTGTCTGTTATGTATCTCAATTTTAATACAACCAAAATTGAGCTCATAATATCTCTCCTTCCCCCAAGAACTCCGTTCCTATCACAGTATTCCTCAACTCTGTAAACAGCCACTTCACTTTTTTGATTGCTCAGACCAAAAGTTTTGATGTCATTTTTAACACTCTTTCTCACACTTTGTATCTAAACTATGAGAAAACCCTGTTGTTTCTACCTTCAAAATAATTACAGAATCCAATCATTTCTTACTATTCCTACTGTTACCACCCAGGGCTAAGCCCTCATAATCTTTTGACTATTCTAACAACCCATTTACTACCATCAGTTTATCCCCAGAACTTGGTTTTATCAAGACTGTACCCAGAGCAGCAGCTAGAGTGGTCCTGGTAAAAAGTAAGTCCGACCATGTCATTACTTGTTCACACTCATCAAAAGCTTTCCACTCTTACACAGTATAAAAGGCAAGTCCCCACTAAGACCTAACTTCCCTAAACCCCTTTAACTTTCAGATCTCATCTCATGAGTTCATCAGTTCCTTACATGGAAGATAAGACAGATAGTAATGTTGCAGATTTTCATGTTATTCATCAGTAAATTGGGTAGGGGAAGTGAAGCAACTTACAGTTGGTCACACAGCGGTAATTTAAACCTAAGTACTAACTGCAGAAGCTGCAAGCACAACTGCTACATCCTGCAGCTGTCCATTTCTCAGTGGCTGTGCAGAGGACAGCCATTGACTGCTCATACCTGAATAGACACGATTGGGCATCATGTTTGGCATGTTTGCATTTGGTAGAACAGAGGATCCAAATTGGGATGGAACACAAAACTGTCTTGGGTCAGTTGGAGCTACAGTGGAAGGCAATAAATCTCTAGGAAGAAAGATATCAAATAGATAAAATGAGGATGGAATTGTAGAAAATTTCCATTGCATAGGCAGTGAGTTTTTTAAATTGCCATACGGGATCCTATCATCTCTTCCCAAAAGTAAATATAAAAGTCCTGTACTCTCTATTGGTTTAAGTGGAAATATGGGGAGAAAGATTGGCAGGAAGAACTCTAGTAAGGAAGGATTGGCCTGACTGACAACAACAGAGAAATCAGGAAAGGAAAGTTTTAGGGATGTCTGAAAGAAAAAAAATCTGATTTTCCATGACCAACATAATGTTCCTTTTAAAAAAAAAGTTCATTGATCTCTGAACTCTTTATTGGCCTTCTGCCCCTGCCTTGCAAGGGTGCCCCGCTTCTGCTGCCTTAATGCTCAGAACTTTGGTGTCATTGACCTTGAACACCACTTTGCCATCCATAATCCTGTGGGTGATCATCTTTTGGATGGATTGCAGGGAGTTGCTACTGTCTGAGGTGTCAACAAGATCAAAGTCCTCCCCTTCTTTCAGTAGGTGGCAATGACAATGATCTTAACCTCCAGCTTGACCTTGATGATCAGCAGGGCCTCAGCAGGGCCTCATACTCCTGGGGCTGCTGCTGCCCCTCTGCCTGGGGCTGAGCCAGCTCTGACTCCAGGAGCAGCAGAATCCTGTGGAGCTGTTCCATCTGCATGGCATAGCGTGTCTCCACCTCCCCAAGGCTCTTCTCTAAGCTGGCCTTCAGGTTTCTCATGGAGTCCAGGTTGATTTCCAAGGGCTGGACAACACGTCTTAGCTCCATGAACGTCGTTTCAGCAGTTTCTAGCTCAGTGATCTGTGAAGTGACCCTTGTGGTGCTCTCCTCAATCTGCTGAGACCAGTACTTGTCTAGTTCCTCTCAGTTCTTCTGAGCCAGCTTGTCAGATTGGACCCCAATGTCCGCCATTATCTTGATTAGGTTCTGAGATGTGGAGACATCCAACTCCACAGGCAACCTAGACTTGGCAATCTGGCCTTGTAGACCATTTACTTCCTGTTAGTGGTTCTTCTTCCTAAGGAACCGCTCCTCCTTCAGAGTCTTGATCTCTGTTTCCAGCTGCAGCTGAGTGATATTTATGTCATCAGTGACCTTTCAGAGCCCATTCACGTCACTCTCCACAGACCGTTGCATGCCAGCTCCATCTCATTCTTGACTCTGAAATCTTCAGCAGAAAGGCCGGCATTGTCAACCTGCAGAACAATGCAGACATTGTCCACAGAAGTTGCAAAGATCTGGGTTCTCATGTCCTCAATAGTCCTGAAGTAATGCTTCCAGTCTCTAATCTGGGGTTTCTTCTTCTCCAGATGTTCCCAGATTTTACTTTTTGGTCTCCAACTATCAGCTTCCAGGCTCCTTATCTTCTCCAAGTAGGAGGCCAGGTGGTCATTCAGGCATTCATAGTCTCCTCTTTCTGGATGCCCCCTATGCCCACCAGGTCCCCAGACGCCCTGCTACCTCACACACCCATGGAGTGGAACACAGAGATCTAGGAACCCGAGTCCCAGCAGCTGCACACACACTGGCCATGCTGCTGGCTGGCTGCGCTGGTGGCTGGGTGACCTCACAGAGCCCAGGGGTCCAGTAGTTGGTGGAGAAGCCAAGTCTCAGGTTTGAGCCACCCCAACATACTGGTCTGAGCACAACATTCTTTTCTCATTTAATGGAGATATTTGGCTTTGGTTTTGCCATCTGGTTGACCTCCTGGGTAGATGGTTTATTTATTTTGCCAAACTTCAGTGGTCTGTAGAAGTCAAATTTATTGTTTATACTCCGTGAACAAGAATAAATAATAGATTTTAAATTTTTCCTCAAAATGCCAAAATATTCTGAAGAAGATAAGGTAGAAAACTGCCAGTGTGCAATGTAGATACTGATGATGTCACTTTTATTGAAAAGAATGAATTATTCTATTATAGGAAGTGCAGGGTACCCAATTATTATGAACTAAATTGTGTCCCCTCAATTCTATGTGTGGAAGTCCTAACCCACAATGTGATTGTACTTAGAGATAAGGCCTTTAAGGGGCAATTAAGGTTAAATGAAGACCAAAGGGTGGAGCTTTAATCCAACAGTACTGGTGTCCTTATAAGAAGAGAAAGAGGTACCAGGTGTGCATATGTAGAGAGCAAGAGGCCACGTGAGGACACAGCAAGAAGAGCTGTCTGCAAGCCAAGGAGAGAGGTCTCACCACAAACCAACTCTGCTGGAGCTTTGATCTAGAACGTTGAGCCTCTAGAACTGTGAGAAATAAATTTCTGTTGTTTAAGCCACCCAGTGTGTAGCATTTTGTTATGGCAGCTCTCACAGACTCCACCAGTGTTTGCATCTGCACAATGCCTGTCACGTAGTGAAAGTGCTCGTGCCCTCTTTGCAGAGTATGTCAAGCAGGCTTCAAAAGGGAAATGGTGGGAAGTGCATTGAAGGTACATACAGCCAGCAGAGTGTTTTGACGTGAATTACTGCACCATGGTTCATTTATGTTAATGAAATTACATTAGACCATAAAACAACTCTGGGGTTAAAATCATTCAAAACCTTAATGACTGACTGTCCATGTTCTCTTTGACCACAATATTATGTTGGAAAAAAATACCTGTCCACAGTTGGAGGTTCAAATGGTGAGGGAGCCAGCGGGATCCTTTGCTGCCCTGATGCTGTCAGTAAAGGGCTCATGGCCATTGTTGGATTTATCATCAGTACCTCTCGCCACTGGTGGAATTCTAAAAAGAACCAGAAAAGTATATTAACAAACATCTCTACTTTTTAAGAACTATTTGAATTTTTCTTAAACACAATGAACGCCATCTATATTTTCTCAACACTTGGGAAGACTAGCTGCCCAAGTTACACAAAAAGCCCTCGATTGTAAGCACCCAGATACAACCGTAGAACTCAGTGTTTTATCCATGTGCCCTTGAAATTTGTTGCGGAGTCCACAGGTAATATCATCACACTACAAGCAATAATAAAGTTAAACCAGCCTTGCAAGGTTCTAGAAATACCAACTGCCTTTCTTACAACGTACTTTGATTTGTATGTTTCCAGAGGTAAAAATGCATGCATTCTCCTTTATTTTCAGTCATTGGAAAAATATTCCTATGTAGTTGATAAGATTAAAACAAAAAAGAATGGGCAATCTCCTTAATAGCTAAAAATATGTCTACTTAGAAGGGATATAGGCTGAAAGCATGAGACTGTATTTAATGAGAACAAATGACCAAGTTAAATTCAAACATGCATAAGCACAAGGATTCATGCCTTTGTCTTCAGATCAGAAAAAGAGACACTTGTCAAGGGGATAATATTTTGCCTTACATTTGTGTTAATTATTAATGTCCTTTGAATAATTTTAAATACTAAATAGGTACTAGTCAAACAGGCCATTTTACCTTCTTCATCATCCTTAGTTGTCAATCAAAACAAACAAGCAAACAAAAAACAATATACCTGCAACTATGTTTGAAAAAAAAAGGAAATTATGAAGAAAAATTCTGCTTTTCAGAGTCGTGATCTTTCATTCTTTCTTCCTTTCTTTGTGATTTAAATAGTAAATGGTCAATACATTCATATGCTTCAATAACTAAAAATAGAGTGATATTTAAGTAAGCATCACTTCTTTAGCTTCTTTATCAGACTTAAACCTACTGACCAAATTGGAAACTCAAGTCCATGGGTCACTTAACATTTGCTTTTGCTATATATATATATCTGTCACATCGTAAAAGTGCTGATGTATTTTCACTGTAATCTCTGTTGGGATTAGAATAAAAATATCTGCTAGGTGCCTGCCAGTCATGGGGAGAATGCCAACACAGAGTGCAGGCTGGGGATACGGCGGCCGTGGGCCTGTGATTCTGGCAAGGACACTGCTCTGTGGCTTCACATTGCAGGTCCGCCACGTGAGATTTGGGTCACAGCCACCGCAACAGTACGATGTGGGACAAAACTGGTGTTTCATTTTGAAACATTATGAACTTTGATTTCTATCACAAAGTGACTATATTTTGCAGAATTTGAATTTATCAATGAATGAGATAGAATCTTTGAAAGTATAAAATATAGTGCTCCTCTGGCATTTTATGTGGTGCCTGAGGTGAACCAGGAGGAAGGAGAAGAAAGGGAGTGGTGCAGAGTTCCCCCAGTGCAAGAATTGCCTAGACGTTGGCACCCCTCTTCCTCTCACATACCCACTCAGGAAATGCTGTGGAAATCAGTCATCAAAAGTATACAAGACTGTCTTATTTGGGATTCCCCTTAAGCAGGCCTTGAGACAAAAGCTTGAGTGCAGAAGTTTATGGGGAGGTGACCCTAAGAAGCCCACATGATGAGAGAGTGGGCAAGTGAAATCAGGAAAGGAAAAGCCAATAAGGGGTGAGGTACGTGTGAGTCACCACTGTGGGCAACTGGTGCTCAGCCCTGCTGGGGATCCTCTAAGAAACCTTGAGGTACACACGGGAGAAATGTCCCAATGAAAGACAAAGAGTTGGCTATTTGCCCATCAGTTTTTGTTGGCACACTTCTCCCTCACATCTGCACACTTCTCCCTCACATCTGGGTTATGCCTGAGCCTGATCCAACAAACTGAAGTTGAGCAATGCAGGTGCTTGAGGTGGAAAATGACCTCCACAGTTGCAGGTGAACTCGGAAGTGGTCTGAGAGCATACAGGATCAGGCAGCAACGTGTCTAGTGCAGTTGAGGCCAAGAGGTTACCTTCTAATGTCATTCCACTGGATAATCGGTACAGATGCCTTTCTTCCGGACTGCCAGGTTCGCCAGCCACATGTGTATTTCTACGAGGCTCTGTAGGGTCCATTGTCTGCAATGACACAGCAGGTTTTTTTCCACTGTCAGTCACGTGTTCAGTGAAATAAGTGGGGAACACAAGGCTATCAGGCTAATGAAGATGAAGAAATGAGTCATCAGAGACAAGTCTCATCTACTTTAAATCTAATCTAAAACCCTGCTTAGTACCATATCTGTTCTGGATTCTATGGTTCTTGGGTCTGGATTTCTTTTTGCAATTCCAAGGGAGTTCAATGTAATCTATAAAATTCTGTTATACTTTTGATATGGTAGTTTATTATTTTTTAATCAGTCCACCAAGTTATTACTTAAAGTGTAACTTATTTCCAATGTCTAAGCAAATATCCTGATGTCATCGAGGTCTCTGGGGAGAAGTCACTCACACCTACCACACCTATGTGTTATGATTCTGGCCTCCACTTGACTGTCTTTGGTGAGCAAATGCTTCTTTACTTATCACTACCACATCTATTGCTGCCCAAATTTTCTTAAAAAAATCATTGCCTGGTGTTGTAGACTGAATGTCTATGTAACCCCCTCCCCCAAATTCCTATATCGTAACCTAATCCACAATGTGACAGTGTTTGGAGGTGGAGTATTTTGGAGGCGACGGATCCCTCATGAATGGGGTTAATGCCTTTAGAAATGAGACAACAGAGATCTTTCTCACCCTCCTGCCACATGAGGACTCAGCAAAAACATGCCCGTCTGTGAACCAGGAAGCAGGTCCTCACAGACGCTGAATCTACTGGCATCTGCATCTTGGACTTCCCGCCTCTGGGAAATTCCCGTGTTTATAAGCCACTCAGACTATAGTTTTCTGTTATAGCAGCCTGAACAAACTAAGACACCTTTGTGTTTTTTTGATGTTATGCCTGTAATCTTTTGTTTTATCAAAATTACATATAAAATAACTTCCCTGACCAGTGTGGCTCAGTTGTTTGGGCATCATCCCACAAAGCAAAGGGTTGCCAGTTCGACTCCCTGTCAGGGCACATGCCTGGGTTTGGTCCCCAGTAGGACCGAAGTATGTGCAAGAGGCAACTGATGGATGTTTCTCTCTCACGTCCATGTTTCTCTCTCTCTCTTTCTCCCTCCCTCCCCCCTCTAAAAACATATAAAGAAAATCTTCAAAAAAATAACTTTATATTTGTATTTTCAGGTTCACAGCAAAATTGAGTAGACAGCACAGAGAATTGCCATATACCTCTCTCCCACCAATTTATAGTTTTCTCCAGAGTGGTACACTTGTTACAATCAATGAGCCTACCTTGACACATCATTGTCACCCAAGGGTTCATGCTAAATGTCATACATTCTATGGGTTTTGACAAATGTATAATGATATGTATCCATACAGACCAGTTTGACTGCCCTGAACCAAATTAAATCTTGAAGCAAATATTACCAGGACACTGCCAAGGAAATATTTTGGGATTGACTCGATCTTTCTCTTCATTAGCCAGATAGATAGTTGAGGCTCCAAATCGCTGTTTCTGTATACACACTGTTTTGGAGATACTGAGTCACAGGGTCAACCTATGAGTCCCTAAATACTTTTACATTTTCTGGGTATCCTCTTCATTAAAAAAAAACATGTAGACACATTGTGAAGCAAGGTCACTTTGCTACGTCAGATGAAATGCTTCTGAGTCAAAGTGCAGACTGGAATGTCCATCTTACACGGGAGGTAACCCGAGCTTCGGGAGAGCGCTGGTGCTTAGGTTTGCATTCAGCTGGATTTCTCTGACCCAGAGCTCTAATCCTGGATGCTCAGCACTTTAGGAGGATGAGGACTCCTTAATCTTTGTCTTCAGACTCTTACCCTCAATGAACCCCTTCAGACAGCACACAGGAGACTTAGCTAGTGCTAATTCTGTCTCAACTGATTAGGGCAGTAATAGTAAGACATGAACTTCATGAACTAAAGCCCTTGCCAAATCAGCAGATTTTTACTGAATGCTTGCCTGGTCCATAGTAGCCAGGAGCAAAAGCTGGTCCACAGGAGCTAGAAGCAAATTTGATTCTATTTCAGTTTCTCATTGACTATACTATGACCATTCAATAAAGTTGGTGCAGTTTGAGTTTGGCTAACCCTGCTTTTGAGCAATTATTTAGAGAATATTTGTTGCATGTATAATGCATGAATTCTAGGGTATATTCATTTTTCAGTACGTTAATTTTTATATAACTGCTGTATTTGGTAAAAGGAAGATCAGTAGGATTAAGTGTTTCTAAAATTCTGAGAAAAATAAATATAAATTCTTAAGTTAAAATGAGAAGGAGATATCTTTAGAGGTCTTTTGTTAAGGTATAAAACAATCCTCAAGATCTTCAAATATTCACTATTCTAAGTGTTCTATATTAATGTGGGTCCTGAAAAGCATTTTAATGCCAAAGCATAGTTCACACTTCTTGAAGTATATTTTAGTTTTTAAAAATTATAAATGGGAAATCATCTTTAAAATTAGGAAGGCAGAAAGAGCTGCTTCAAAGCATTTCATTGTCGAATACTTCTAAAAGAAAAATTTGCTGTGAGAAGAGAAATCACGCTAATTTCTCATATCTATAGTTAGAAGTATGAAAAAAATTATTTTTACCTCCAATACAAAACATTTTAAGAATAATTACATAAAATATTGTATAAAATACAAATTATTGTATTCAGAATACATTTGTGAATTGAAATGAAGTTCCAGGTAAGACTAGACGAATAAATTGGCATAAAGTACTTGACTGTTCTAATTGTAGAATCCCATATTTCTTGAGAAGATTACAAGGGAATTCTAAAATTATCCAAGTACTTATTTCAAGTGGAAGAAATATTTTAAAATATCTCCAACCCAAATGTGCATCACAGTAATTTATAACAGGACAAATGCCATTGTTCCTTAAAATCTGAGTGACTAATGTCACCTTCAGTCCCCACCCCACATCTTCCACAAGGCTTCTGCCCAGTGCTGGGGATTTCATCCTTGTGGGCACATTGTCTATGAGTTTTTGCTCTCGTGGGGCTCCCAGTCTACCCCATGGCTCCCCGACTCAGAATGTAGTGCATTTCTCTCAATATCCACATAAAGCCATTCACAGTGTGTACTGTGTAGCTGACTTTACTGAGGTCTTGGCCGACTAGAGGGGGATGTGTGTCAAAAACAACTTAAAATTGAACGTGACTTTTCCATTATGAAACATTCCTTCAGGCAGTTTTGACAAGTCAGGGTCTGGTTTCTTGTTTGTTTTCTTGACCTTCTTTCAGCTGGTACCCCAGCAACTCCAAACCAGTTCCTCCCACTTTGTTTTGCAGAAATCTCTCTAACCCCTCTCCCAGACTCTGCTCTGAGTCTCTCCTCAATAGGCCTTCCACTCTGGGTCACTGTGTTCTCCCTCCCTACCCCATCTTTGCCAAGTACAGGAAGTTTAGAGAATTCTTTCCTGCTAGTTTGAATGATGCCGATAACATTCTACTTTTACAAGGCAGCTAAACTTAATTTTGGTTTTAAATTACAATAAGCACTTTTTCTGTTATTCTAAAACAGTATAAACAAAAATGAGTTATCACTGTAGTACTGCCAACAAAAACAGTTAATACAGAAGCATTTGGCAGTGGTCATAAAATATATTTCACTTTTACTAAAGGCATGTGCTTTAGTACTTTTTAAACACATCACATCACTGTGGATACCTTGGAAAGTGATGTTGAAGACAAATGGCATGTGTTTGGTGCCCTTACCTCTTATTTCTTTTCTTTCTGGAAGCTCATTGTCATTAGATCCACTCACGCTTTCTTGCAATGTAAAGTTCTAGGCACATTTGCAGATATTGTGACACGAAGACATAAACCTTTGACATCATTAAACGAGTAGAAAGGATACAATTTCTTTCCTACTTGAATTCAAAATAGTTTACGTGCTACTAGAGCTTGCATAAATTCTGTTCACTTTCTTCAAAACATTGTGAAGTGAAACCTCTTGAATATAAATTTGCACATAGACTAAAGTGAAATTCTAGCAGTACTCATGTAATTGAACTGAACTTTCGGTATTTTAGATAGTTTTAGAGAACAAGTTAACAAATAGTAACATGAGTTTATATTCATGATTATGATCGTTTGTTCCTGGATGGTTTTTCCTGAAATTTTCTGCCCTGACACTTTGTGTTCCATGCATCACGACAACTTTTGGTCTACAGTTACCTTCAGCAATGGGAGCCCGCTAAAACAATAATGTATAGTAAATGTATAGCAGTGACAGAGAGGCAGGCACTTAATATATTTGAAGATGACAAAATACATTTATTTACAACTTCAAGCTGACTTTATCTTTTAAAAACTTCCTTTTACTTTTCCTTAAAGAATAACAACCAAGGCAGTATTTATTTCTTGATTTGGTAGAAGCAGTATATTATCTTTACTCTTTAGTAACTTCACCCAAATAAGAATTTATTAGCTAACTTACTGCTAATAACAGAGCTAATAACATTTACAGATAAATCTTTATATACATGTATTTTTCCAAAGTGCACTGTGTTTTATTTTTATACTGTACCCACCCAGTGATTATGGGAAGAATGCAATTAATGATATTTATACAAGATTATTTCCTTAGTTCTTCATTTTTTACTTGAGACTCCTGCAGAACTATATTCCTTTTAAGACAAAATTGCCCTTTCATCTTACATGTGCAAATGTTTTAGTAAAAGTGACTAGCCTCAGTCTGGACTCATCAATGTGCAGATTTGTATACTTACGTCCTCTGTGAAGACCTCTTGGTTTTGACATTGCTCATGGGAAAACCATCCAAAGACTATCTGTCTTTACATCGCAGAAGCTCCTCTGACTACGGGCTGAAAACACATCTGACAAATGGTGCAGATACTCTTAATTAATTCACCTTGCCTTAAATACTGACTCAACTAAGTTGATTAGTCCAGTTTCGTGACAGAAACGCTGCCCTCCGATATCCTCCACAGACAGGTGGAAAGACGTTAAGCCCCAGGAAAGTGCAAACAGTGCACATAAACCTGCCTGGGGGTTTAGCTGCAGTTTTAATCCTTCTTTAGTCTCTAAGATGCTTTGCAGGCGTTCGCTTAATGCCACTCAGCGACACAAAGGGAAAATACTATATAAATTAGTAATAAGCTTTTCTTTGATGGGAAAATAACATTTCATATTTCCAGTGGGTTTTAGTGGAAACGTTTCTTTTGTGAGTAGGAAAAAAAAAACTAAGTTGTTTTCTATAGAGCTGAAAAATTAAACAAAAGATAGGAGACTGTTTAAGAAAGAATCTTTTAGAATTGACATCTGTGCTTAACTCCTCACAGACAGTGAGGAAACCCTTCAGAGTCTGTGTGAGAACTGCCATCTACACAAAAGAAGAAACATAGAATGGTGAAAACTTGATCTGTTTATTTACTAGAGAAATAAAGAATTTGTAGCCTTGAAAAATTAACATTAATTTTTTTTATTCCTACTAATGTACTAGTGGAAAGTACAAAATTTAATAGGAAAAATTAAAGTGTTACAAATAATGCTTTCAGCTTCTAGTTTGAAGATAATTTGCTCCTTTGTTGACACATATTTTTGTCATCGGCTACTGAGTGGATTATAAGAAATTCCAGAAAGAACTTATTACAGAAAGCAGTGGCCAATAGCAAGGACTTCAAAGACTAAGAGACCCAGTCAAGTGCCAGGCCCACCATTTGTGATACATGTAACCTGGCCAAATTACTGTGTTGCGCGTGGGTCACCGGCTAGCAGTGACCACGGCACACTGTGGATGGCTCGACGATAAACACGCGAGAAAAAACATGCACAGAGACAAACCAGTTTCTGTGGGGAAGTAGGGACAGAATGGCCACCCCCCCTAGTGGGGGAGCGCGCCGATTTACAGTCCATACCTGCTTTTATTGGGCTCATGCTACATAATAACTCAGGTAACGTACAATACTCATTAGGGGAAGTAAGGAACATATAAAACAAAGAACTCTGCCGGTCTATTGAGTTGGGGGGTCAAAGAGCTGTAAGGCTGAGGAACAAACTAGCTTCCTCCTAAGACCCTCCTCATTCAACTAAGAGCATTCTTGGACAAAGAAGGTTTCACAGTAATTTACATGTTCTTTCTTAGGCCCGATCACCCCGGGAAATCCGCACTTCCCAGTACCGAGCTGTACTTCCCGTCATTGTTTCAGGCTTAGGTGGAGCGCGGGAACTAAAGCCACCGAGAGATAAGGAGATTTTCTTCCGGACGCTGAGAACTCAGACTTTGTCAAAGCCGAGGAGTGAGGGTCCATCACCCCCTTTTGCTGCAGCCCCCCAAGTCCTTCTTTTGGGGGGCCTCCCAAAGTGATCGTGCCTGGCTTGGGTTGTTTCCCCCCGTGGGGAATCTTACCCGTCTTTGGCTAACCGACCAAGCTTTTTTGGGGTTCAGCAGCAGAAACAGCATTACTGCCAGGGAGATAAGCTTTTGTCTCCTTGCTGGCTCACGGTTCCAAGGGCGTTCCCTTAGCCTTAGCCTAGGCGGGGGTCTCAGTTTCTGATACCAGTCAGGGCGGTTCCCAACATTACTGAGCTTCTCTGAGCCACCTTTTCCTCATCTCAGAAGAGCCTCCGAGAGCTGTTCTGAGATGCGAAGGCAACAACGCAGACAAGTACTTGCAGAGTTCCCACTAAATGTTAGCTATTCTGTTAGATAAGTACAGTATGTGAACTCCTCCGTTGAGGATCCATGGGAGAAATTTTTCTCAGCCTGCAGTGCTAGGCATAATTGGCCATTGTCCATGGAAATCAGACCAAAACAAAGTCTCAGGAATCATGTAACTAGTGAATTTTTTCTTTGCATTGGCCAGTAGTAAGCCTGGCCTGCTTTTAGGCATACATTTGGAAACTGTAAACCATCTGTGGCTTCAGCTTGATTTTTTCTAATAGCTGTTTCTCTTTGCTTTAATTTCTTTACTAAACTGTCTCTCTCATTATATTATACATATATTTTGAAGTTTCTGCAAATAAATAATAAGTGCATAGAAATTTCATCACTCTGACAATCCTCAAACTAGAAGAGCTTGTGTCCAAAAGGCTTATTTATAGTCATTCAACAGTAACTTATAAATGTATTGCTTTCATACAAGAACCACCCTAATGAGTTAATTAAGTTTCTGGCCAGCCCATATGACTCCATCTAATAGTGTAACAGCAGTCCTCATTTCAGTGTAAATCTACCATTTATAATTCTGTTCTGGAAATGTGACCAGAGTACCAGTGGGGTCCGTGCATGCCACAGTTTCTCCTGATCCAACCCTGGATGAGTTCCCAGATCCCCGCTTGCAGTTGTTGCGTCTCTTACTCCTCTACACCAACCAGCCCCTGCTACGAGGGTGGGGCTGGGACTGTGTGGAGGAAGGAGAAAAGAAAGGAAGGGAGGCTGGGAGCCCTGACTTGGGGGGAGTAAGAGAAACAGTGGCTTCTGGAGAGTCTGGGCTCCAATGGAAAGAGCAAGAGAAGACATAGAAGCTTCTGGTGTCCAGTTAGAACTCACCAGTCTGGCTGTGCTGATTGTTAAAATATTGAAATTCTCCCATAGTGGTTGGAAAGTACCACTGCCCTAAGCCTCTAAGTGCTCCCCCAAGCCAGCTGCTCCAGCGTCTCCCCTGAGGCACAGCCCCAGACACGCCCCCCCCCTCCCAGTACTGCATCAGCATCTGAAGGGATAGTCCCTAACACAGCACGGGGCCTGCGGGTTCTTGCCCCAGCACCTCAGCTGAGATTCAGTTGGATTAGTCTGTCCACGGGGTGACTGTTGCTGCGTGAGTGAGAGCAATCACAGTGCTGATGGGTGGGTTCTCTGAGAGCGATGATTACCGAAGGAGCGGGAGAGGTGGGCTTGGAGGGCCCTGGCTATATTGGGAACAGGTGGAAGAAGCGCCACAGGAAGAGAGGAACAGGGCAGGATGAGAGGCTAGCAGTGGCTTTGGGGGTTGTTAATCATTCAGAAGTGTTGTAAATTTGCACCTTACACTAGATACAGAGAAAAGTCTCTTTATTTTCCTGCAGCCTATCTGGTCTCCTCCAAAGGTCCCATTCTCTGGATGAGAGGTGAGAAACTATGTTTAGTTCAATCTGGTAAATTAAAACCTATCCAATAATATAAAGAATCAGTGTTTCTCAAGTAACTTGGTCTATTCCAACATTACACAGGGAGACACCCCCCCACTGCCCCCAAAACAGAATTATCTTCTGGAGCTTGGGGCCCTTGCAGTACAGGCTTCCCTCACTAAGCAAATGTTTAGGAACCCGGCTGTATCAGTGTGCCAGCTGGTGTTGTTGTGGCAGGATGAGTTTGGCTTCAGTAAAAAAAATTTTTTGAAGGCTCTTTTTGCTCATTTCATGATGGGTGATTTATGAGTGCACTTGCCCACACCACGCTGAGTGTTTAGCGGGTTTTGACCAAAACCCCTGCACCCCACCCTCTCTATTTACTGGATCATGCCCTAAGCGACTGTTTTTGTGTGTGTGTTTCCCTAGATGAAAAAGCCCCCAAAGGGAAACATTTTGCTGATGTGGAAGAGGTGAAACAAAAAATGGCAGAAGCACTAAAAGGCATCAAAAGTGGTGAATTCGAATACTGTTTTGAGCAGTGGAAAAAGTCTTAATAGGTATATTGCATCAAATGGGGAGTACATCATTGAAGGTGAATGAAATTTAAACATGTAAGAATAAATATACAATTTTAAATAAATTCTGGGGTTTTTGGGTCCCTTCTCATAAATGATCTCCTCTGGAATTTCCCCCCATCTTCTTTTCTTCCTTGACAAGGCCCATGAGTTGAGGGGTGGACAAACTGTGGGGACCTTGTGGTGGGGGAGTGGGGGAGGGGACGTTAGAGAGTGTTGAGGGACCACGTTCTGCTGTTCTGCTCTCCTGGTGCTGCCTCCTGTTTGGGGCTCTCTGCTTGCTTCCCATTCCAATGTCCTCACACGGTCTGCTCGCAGGAGGGCCTGCCTGCTGCCTCAGCATCTGACACTGCAGAGTCCCCGTGGATTGGCTGTTCATCCTCTGTAGCCTTTGACCACAGAAGATTTCTGGCCATGGCATTGATGACCCTCTCTAGCAAGCTTCCCAGACAGAGTCTCTGCTACTCTTTTATCACCCTAGGGGATGCAAGCACTTCTAGGCCCTTCTTCTCATGCCACTCAGGTCACTCAGAGAAGCTAACTCAAGCTCTTTCCTGCCTTGCCTCTGGGCCATCCTAGGTCACTCCAGGACACCTGGCTGGGAAGTGCTCTTCTAGGAAACCACATGGGCTGTGTAGAAAGAGTTCTTCTGTACTTAGCTCTCCTTCCATTCCTCTAATGCTGCAACCTCCTCCTGGACTCTAGAATACCACAGTGCCCCTGGAATCAAAGGGTAAGCCACCTTCTTCCCGACTTTCCGGGACTTCCCTGATCACAACTGTGAGCAGGCCTCTGGGCCCCACCCTGGGTATGCTAACTAACAGGGATGATCTGGAACTGAGTTATCCATTATCTCTGCACAGCCTAGTTTTAAGGACAAATGTCTCAGCTAATTATATGAAAAAAGAAAGTGTGGACTCAGCCAGTCTGTCCCAGCATCTTCACTGACGAGAGTTCTCACCCCCTCCCCTGTGGCACTAAACCTCACGTCCCCCCACCCCCTGCAGCCATCTTAGGAAGTGGCTGCTATCTTTGTAGCTTCAGATCTTTGTATCATCTCTAGATATTTAAATGACATACTGTGCTGTGTATAATGGCACTTTGTTGCCCAACTTTTTGAAGGAAAAATAAGGATGCGCATTATACATGGGTAGTGCCTGAAATACCTTGTATCTGTTCTTGTGTTTTGTAATTATTTGTCACATAAAATTTCTTGTGTCATAATATGCTCAAAAATAAATGCTAAATTCCTTTATAATACAAAAAAGTATCTAAATAAACATAA